ATGTGTTTAAATTTGCAGGTTACATATTCTATTATGTTTCTTAAACCATGTCAAATCCTAAACGACCTAAGACATTGTCTAGTAGCTCAAGTCAAAATCAACCTCTTATTCCTCCACCCAATCCAAATAACCCAAATATGGCCATTATGAACTCTTGTTTCAACGTACCTGGTTGTGGACAAGATCTATATCATAGGTGCCATACTTATTTTGAGTCATACAAAATTCGAGAAGAACGTATCCCTTCGATTCAAGCTATAGAAGATATGGACTTCCAATATCTTCCTACTCTTAAATCCTAGAAGTTTGATAAACTCTTTAAACTCAAACCTTTGGTTTATCATCAATTAGTCCGCATTTTTCTATTCCAATGTGGTATGTGTCCAAAACGAGCGCCGATATGAAATTATAGGAATTCGATCCTATCTTTTAGGACAATTCATTTTTTTATTGACTCCGGCACAATCGCTACCCATTTTGGACTAGATAACTCAGGTTTAATGAAAAAGAGACTGTGGATTCACCCTATAAGTCTAAGGATAGTGAGAGTACCCTAAGAACTCATCGTGATAGATTCCTTCATTATTTGATCTCTTGGTGGTTTAGATCATCCGGAGGTAGGTACTCCTCCCTTAGGAACATAGATATATGGTGGATATATTGTATCCAACATAAAAAGAAGATTAATCTGCCACATATCATCTTTAGTGAGTTTCCATTGTTTCTTCCAAGAATATAGAAACCTCGGTTTATGGTTGTCTCCTTAGTAATTTGTTTATAAAACTTGGTCTTTGGGTCAATGGGTTTATCGTCCCGAACTCGGAACTTTTAATTGTGAAACATTTTGATGTTCATGGATTGTTTTATTTTGGGTGTTTGAATTTGTTGGATAATTGGATATTTGAACTTACATGTTTATATATTTGGTTTGATTTTCACTTTCATTTTGAGCTTAATGTTTATTTTGGCATCATTTACATATTAGTTGCAATATGACCAATTTTTGTCATTTCACATTGTTTATGAATATTGGATTAAGGAACTAATGGCTAATCTTTCTCTTGATTATGATCTTAGCAGCTTACGCTATATTTAGTTATCAATTGGCTAAATGATTTCAAAACCTTGTTTAAAATCTTTTAAAAGTCTTTTTGATTTAACAAAAAGGGGGAGAAATGTTTGTGTTTTTAAAAGAGGAGTAGTGTTAAACTAAGGGGGAGTAGTATTTTTCAAAATCAAAATTCATTTTGAAATTAGAAAATCTTAAAATATTTTGTTATATCAAAAAGGGGGAGATTGTTGAAAACATTTTGTTGTTTCGATATAACAAATTAAATTAAAAGAATTTTAATTTTAAAAATGATTTTTTCTAAGCATATTCGATATATTAAATCGAATATCAAAATATTACTCAAAGTATTTCAAAGTTCATTTTAAATCCTTACTCAAGTGTAAAATTAAGTTTTAATCTTAAAATAATTTCAAAACGATTTTACAAAATATTTCGAACCATTTCAAAGCCAAAAATTCCAGATTGCTCAGAGGGAACCGATTCCCCCCCAAGGGGGTACCGATTCCCCCTGAATGGTTTGGCTCCGAGAAATTCCAGTATGCTCGGAGGGAACCGATTCCCCCCACTGTTCAATGGTTGAAATATTTGAATTTTACACTTAGGGAACCGATTCCCCATGAGGGGTACCGATTCCCCCACGCTCCAAGCTGTTGTATTAATGGTTTTCACACTTAAACGGCTCCATTGACTCCACTAATCATCCCCAACGTTCAGAATCAATTGAGGGAGTATTTAAACAAGTTCTGAAGCCTTTGATCAACCAGAAATCATACAGAAACAAGAGAGAAAGCATCAAACACCAAGTTTGTGCAAATCAAGCCAATTTTCCTTTCAATATTCATTTTGCTTTCAAGAACACCATTTGTGCTCATTTGTAATTATTTTTTGAGTGTTCTTTTCTTGTTCTAGAATTGTGCAAACATCTTACCTTGTGAGGTTTTCCTTGTAAGTTTGCAAATTTGTGTATTTCTCTTTGAAAAAGAGTGTGCTCAAGAATTTGGGGTATAATTCTTGAGGGGGTTGTAAGGTTACTCTTTGTCCTCAAAAGAAAGAACAAATTAGTGAATTTGTTGGAAAATCCTTAGCGTGGATAGCTAAGGTAGTGGACTTAGACTTTGGTTGAGAAAGTCGAACCACTCTAAATCGTTGTGCAATTACTTTCAATTTTCTGCAAAAGCTTTCACCAAAATTTTAATTGCCAATTCACCCCCTCTTGGCCGATTCCGTCAATCGATTAACTCAACATCTTCCATTCTTTAGACCCTCATTTTGGATTTGGATACACAATTTGCATTCGTAGGTAGTTTTCTCATGATTCTTAGCTCTTATTTACGTTTGTAAGTAGTCTTTCAGTAGTTTGATATGTTGTTGTGGTTTGTTCCGCAATGCATTCAAATTTATGCATATCTATCTTTTGCTCAAGTGTTTTTAATGTATTTTTTTTTATCTTTTTTCTCGTATGATCTTTTTACTATCTCAAGTGACTAATTTTTGTGTCAATAATTATATAATAATATTGAAATTTTGTTTAGTTTACAATTATTATTATAAATCTTAATTAGTATTTTTTTGACAAAATAAATTGCTTCTATTTCTATAAAAAAAAAATCTAAACTAATGAACAATAAAGTTGAGATATGTAAGACTTCCTTTATAGATTTGATCATGGATGTTAATTTTATATATAACTTTTTTATTCACCCGTAACATTCATAATCTAATATATAAAGAAATGGAAGACGGATGTCCATTAACCCTTCCCCATTCACATCCACATAACTCAAACTTAGACTTGATACAACAAAAGAAAAGAAAAGAAAAAATACACTAAATAATCATTAATAATAAAAGATTTTACTAAGGTTGGCTCAAGTGGTAAGTAGCTTGATATTGTTTAAGCAGATATCAAGATCCAGGTCTTGTGTATGTAAAAAATTTCCACTAGGGGACTCACCCACCAAAACCAGATGTGCAACACTGATCGATCCGGATTAATCAGGACAAAGCTCTGGAGAATCGGGAGAGCAATCAAAAAATTAATAATAATAAGATTTTAGCACAAATAATCTCTAATACAATTAGGCATCTAATTATGCCAATATTATTCGGAACATATGCATGATTTTATGTTAAAGGGTGAACCTATAAATTTTTTAAGAGTAGAAGAATTTATAAAATTTCATGAGAACAAAAATAAATTTTTAAAAAAAATATAAAGAAAATATCTAAAATATGTAGAACTTTAAAATTTATACGAAACAACTACTCCATCCGCTCCCTCAATCCATCCATCCATGAATGTAGCTAATACGAGTACATAAATGCTGAGCTCATAATGCTCAAACAAATTTAACAAGAACATTGGTAACCACTTCTATAAACAAGATTAAAGAATTGTATCTTAATGTTCACGTTAATCACATTTATTAAGAACATGTAATGTGTTGCATTTTTATTAATTTATTTTTTAAGATAAAATTATAGGTATTTAGACAAAATTTAAATGTTAAAAATTAGAAAATAAGCTGTGGAATTGAATTCAACCTAACTAATACTAAAAATGATACACTCAAAACATAGGTGAAAATTATATAATAATGTATGAAAAGAGAAAAGCTGCTCTTAAACATATGGGTGGTTAAAAAAAAGATCATGGTTAGGTTTTCATAAAACAAATAGTTTTTAACTTTAATTTTAAAAAAGAAAATATATAAACATACATATAACTAAATATTTTTTATTTTAGAATTTAGATTTGTATAAACTAGTAACATCAAATTTTTGTAAGATACAAATTATAATATTTAAATTAATCATAATTTTTAACTATTAATTTGAAGATAATTGTATTTAAATATATTCAAATTCATAATCTTTTTGATAATTCTGGGTGAATATAACATAGTATTTATTCAAAGACTTTGAACCATTTGACAATAAATGCTTATACCATTGACATACACGATGCTCAAATCCGAGTCCTCAATGGATAATAATAATCCCTTAACCTCGTACAATAACAATAATAATCAAATTAATACTTAATCTAAAAACTTAATTATAAACATCTTATTTATCACGACATTTTTTTAGATTTATTCGCCATAATATTTTTAACATTCTTAATATAATCTCACAATAATATTTGTTTTTTTTAGTTAACAACTAAAAAATAAAATTATTCAAATTTGAATTATTTAAAGAGAATAATTCTATCTTTTCTACTGAAATTATCTCTTAAGTCATTCGTTATAATATTTTTAAATTTGATTATGTGATATTTTTATCACATAATGTTTGTCCAACATATTATTTAAAATTTATACACATTAATCATTTATTTTAAAAATTATAAAAAATTATAAAAATTATTATTGTTTATAAAATTCAGGATCGTTAAGAACCTAGAGGCTAACTGAACTTGAAAATTGAAATTTAATATTCTAAAATAAAATTGAAGAATTAATAAAAAAACATAATAAGATCTCATCATAGATCATATGGCCGTGTCACCGACCGATACAACCGACATAATATCGTAATTATCTCCGACTTAAAGGCCAATTCCTTTAATCCTTAACCTTTTAAGTTAAAGAGTAAACTATATATTTAGTTACCTAATTATTTTTGTAATTTCGTTTTAATTATTTAATTAATTTTATAATTTCTTAGAAAAATTAACGGTAATATTAATATTTTATCATAAGTTAATATCACATCAATATTAAAAAATAAAAAATTATTATATCAATAATTTTATTTATTTTTTAACAATAAATTATCAAAACGAAATAAAAATATAAATTTAATGATGATTTTAAAAGAAAATAATTAGATAAAATATGCATTTTATCCCGGTTATAATACAACTTCCAAGCCAAATTTCAACTCAACGATTGAAAATATATAAAGTTCCTCACGTCACTACCAGCTCCATCCCACTCCTTTCACTTTCTCGGGAAAATATTCTCTTTCCCGACTGACAGTTGTTGTTCTTTACTCCGTCATTTTCTAGCGACAAAATGTCTACTGGGACGGGGAAGTGCCAGAAAATTCGCCACATTGTCCGAATCCGCCAAATGCTGAAGCAGTGGCGAAGGAAAGCCCGCATAACGGCCAGCAACAACAATAACGGACACCCGCCGCCGTCTGATGTTCCTTCTGGACATGTGGCTGTCTGCGTTGGCACCGGTCTGAGGAGATTTATCGTACGCGCCACCTACCTAAACCACCCAATCTTCAAAGCACTCCTCCTACAAACCGAAGAAGAGTACGGTTTCAGCAACGTAGGACCATTAACCATCCCATGCGACGAGTCCTTGTTCGAAGACATTCTCAGACTCGTCTCCCGATCCAGCTCACCTCCCGGTGATCTTCAGAGATGCTGCCACGTCGGCGTGAAGAATGAACTCGGTTTTATCGGCGAATCTCGACCGTTGCTTCATGGGGTATCCGAAAAATCCGTCTTCTGAAAGTATAAAGCAAAAGTAGCTTGAGTACCCAAACATCTGGGTAGACTCAACCGCGTCAATAGAGTTGAAGACCTAACAGTTGTTATTTGTTTGGAGTGGTTAGTGGGTAATTTCTCAGTAAGTTTTTCCAAGGCTATAATTATATTAGTTAATTATGGAGGTGGCGAAGCGGTTTATTTTCACTTTTTACTTCTTTTACCCTGTAATCCCACCCTTGGTTTGACACTTTGACTATTATTATTATTATTATTATTATTATTATTAGGGTAAAGTACACATGGTATTATTTTATTGAGTTTTCGACTATTAAAAGCTATAAATGATATCTCAATTATATGATATTATTTTGTTAAATCCTCCAACTATTAAAAGTGACAAAATAATCACCCGACTAGTCATATATTTCAAACTCATTTTTTTCTGTCAAAAAATTAATGGTTGTCTAAGCTAGATGTTAACCTGCTTATTGGGATATGATAAAATCATATCTAAATCATGTCTACGGGCACCATCGTTGTTTTGAAGCACTAGCTCAACGACATAATGTTTCAAGCACTTGTTCGATAACATAATTTAAACGGATAGTCGATCCAAAAAATACAGCTTAAACAGTTTTGGGATCAAATTTTATCATATTCCAGTCAATAGCCAACATTTTAATGGAAAAAGATGATTTTGGAACATATGAATAGTGAGATGATCATTTTATAATTTTTAATAGTCATAAGACTTAAGAAAAAAACATCCTATTGATCGATCATCATCAAGGTCATTAGAATTGCACGCAATAGGCAAAAGAAGAGAAGAAGGAAATCCAAAACAAATAGAAAGGGATAAGAAACTAGGAAGAAAGGGGTAGTGGGGAAGATAATATTAGGGGTAGCACGCTAAAGGGGATGGCGCACACTAAGGGAATTCTCTGGGTGCAAGTTAGTAGGTCTAATGGCGTCCGAGTTTTTTGTTGATTCTTCGCTGATTTCTTTTTCTTGCTTTCTTCTTTTTGAAGCACGTGTTTTCTTCTCACAGTTTTTCTGATTTCTTGATGGATTGGAGAAAATTATTCAAGTGTGCAGAATCTAATGATTTTGAATATTTCCCCCCAAATGTTCGCGATGGTACTCCGATTGTGCTTCCTCCTTCTGAGATTCTTGATGCAGGAATTTCAGAGTGGAAATTATCTCTTGTGGGTCAGTTTATTGGGGTCATGCCGAGCTTTACGTCAGTACAAAGAATCGCTGATAATCTCTGGAGTAAAGCATTGCTGGGCTCGCGCGTTCAGGTTAGTACTGCTGGTAAAAATCTCTTTATCTTTTCATTTAATAGTGAATCTACAAGAGATTGGGTTGTTGATAATGGTCCTTGGCATGTACAAAACAAAACCCTAATTCTAAGGAAATGGGAACCAAACCTGCAAAGCCTCTCTTTCGATTTAACTAAGATTCCTATCTGGGTCCATTTATACAATGTTCCCTTAGAGCTTTTCACTCGAGTAGGACTTAGTTACATCTCTAGTGCAATTGGTTTTCCACTCTCGATGGACTTAATTACTGTATCTAAATCTAGACTTGAGTTTGCAAAGGTATGTGTGGAAATAGGTGTCAATGATGTCATTCCCAAATACATTGATGTTGCTCTCAAAGATAGACAGAAAACTTTGATTTATGTATAGGTTTCATGGTTTCCTCTTTCTTGTAATAAATGTAAAGTATTTGGGCACAATGATAAAGCTTGCCAGTAAAGAATCAATTCCAATGCCAATTCTGGTCCTACTCAAGTCTGGAAAAAGAAGGAAGTTATTCCTAATCCAGTTGAAATGTATGCTGGAGGAGTTGAAGACTTGGAAGAACCAGCTTGTAATGTCTCTAAGGAAGCTGAGGCCTCTAAGGTGCAGGAGGGGCTGAGAGGAATTACCCTGAATCTTGCACCTAATCTTGATGGAGGAGATGATGCTTTACAAGATTCATCAAGTAAAGACCCAAAGGAAACTGAATTTACAAATCTGCAGGAGGAGTCTGAAGCTACTGTAACTGACAATATCGAGCACTCTATCATTCATGATATTCCTGTGTCTCTTCTACATCAGGATGGTAAAGATGTTGTTGTTACTGAACAATTTCTTTCCCAGCCTGTTGAAGCTTCAATTTCCCAACCTTCAACCTCTAAAAAGGGAAAAGACAGACCTAGTAAGGTTAATATTAAGGATTCTCTATCAGGATCAAAAAATAGATTTGATGTGCTCAACTCTGTTGATGAAAATTCAAATTTAGAGAACCAACCAAGAAAGCCTAGAGCAGCTTCATTAGGAGTTACTGGTTTAGTCAAGGAGCTAAAATAAAAAAAGAAAAATCAACTCGATAAAGCAAAAAGTCTATCCGTTGAAAGTCAAGGTGGATCCTCTGGATCACCAAGCCTATGATAATCATTTTCTGGAATGTTAGAGGACTTAATAGTCCTCTAAAACAAAATAAAGTGGCCCTTAGAGCCATGCAGAACAAGGTGGATGTTCTATGTCTGTTGGAGACCAGAGTCAAAATGGATAAATCTGAGGCAATTCTTAGTTCTAAATTTTCCAATTGGAATATTTGTTCCAATTATGATCATGCAATAAATGGCAGAATATGGTTGCTTTGGAGGAAGGGAATTGATTTGACCATAATTCAAGTTGCTGATCAGTGTATTACTGCTAAAGGGAAGTTCTAGAATAAACCGATTTTCATCTCTGCCATATACAACAGTAATGATGGAGTGCATCGTAGGTAGCTTTGGCATAAGATGAAGGAAGTTTATTCTATTGTTGATCATTCTCCTTGGGTCTTAGGAGGTGATTTTAATATTCTTTTGCACTCTCAAGAAAGCTCTGACCATGAATTTTTAGACCATTACATCACTCCTGACATGAAAGATTTTCAAGATTTCACTCAAGATATTGATTTGACTGATCATCCTTTCTTTGACCCCAATTTTACCTGGAGTAATAAACAACAATACTTTTATCTTTCTAGAAAGCTCGACATAATCATGATTAATCCTAGATGGGCCTCTGTTTTTCAAAACTCCTTTGTTGAGTTCCTTTCTCCTGGTGTCTCTGACCATAGTATGGCAGTTATTTGGCTTACTAATTATCCTTCTGCATCTAGACCAAATCCATTTAAATTCTTTAACTTCTGGACTGCCCATCATGATTTCTTGAGTATTGTTAGACAGTCTTGGTTCCACAATATTCCTGGTAATCCTATGATAGTCTTGTTCCTCAAGTTGAAAAGATATAAATTTTGTCTTAAGGGATTTAATAAAGAAACCTATAGAAACCTTTCGGATCGTGTTAAACTAATGAGGCTTGAGCTGGAAAATCAACAACTTCTAACTCTTAAAGGAAAGTAAGCCATTGAGAAGGAAATTGCATTACAAGTTCAATTGAAAACTCTTGAAGATGCTGAATATAACCTTCTTAAACAAAAGGCTAAAGCTCACTGGATTAGACATGGTGACAAAAACACCAAATTTTTCAACTTGGTGGTAGCCTTTAAAAATAAAAGGGACACTTTAAGAGTTCTTATTGATGACAACGAGAATAGGCTCGAATCTTTTGAAGCCATGTCTAACGAAGTGATTTCTTATTTCTCAAAGCTTCTTGGTACTTCTGACCCTTCGGTCAAGGATATTGACCCTGCTCTTCTCAATAACCTCCTCAACTTTTCCATGTTGGTTGATGCTCCATCTTATCTTGTTAAGGAAGTTGCTGATGAGGAAATTAAAAATGAAATCTTTTGCCAAGGCAACGATAAAACCCCTGTACCGGATGGATTCACTCCCTATTTCTTTAAAATATCTTGGGCTATTTTGGGCAAAGAAGTTATAGAAGCTGCCAAATATTTCTTCAGCAATGCTTATATTCATCTGACTTTTAATTCAAACATCATTCTCTTGTCCCTAAAATCCCCAATCCTAGTATTGTCAATGACTTTCGGCCTATTTCTTGTTGCTCAATTATATACAAGACAATCACTAAAATTCTTGTTAATAGGATGAATGTCTATCTTCCGCAGATTATTACCTTGAATCAGACTGCTTTTATCAAAGGTCGAAGTATTATTGATAATTCCCTTCTTTCTCAGGAATTGATTAAGGGATATGGTAGGAAAGTAATTTCACCTAGATGCTCCATGAAAATCGATCTTCATAAGGCGTTCGATTCATTGCATTGGGATTTAATTTCATCAATCCTTCGATCTCTTCAATTCCCAAATATTTTCATTGCTTGGATTGAAGTCTACTTCTCACAAGCTAGGTATTCAATTTCTTTCAATGGTTCTCTCACTGGTTATTTCAAAGGAGCTAGAGGGCTCAGACAGGGAGACCCTATTTTTCATTATTTGTTCATTCTAGCAATGAACGTTGTCTCTGACATGCTCAATTTGGCTGCTACTAAAGGCATCTTTGCTTACCACCCAAAGTGCAAGAAGATAGGGCTTACTATAATTTCTTTCGCAGACGACCTTTTAATTTTCTACAAAGGCAATGTTGATTCAGTGGTTGGTGTCCTCAGTGTCCTTGACCTTTTCTACCAAGTTTCAGGACTCAATCTTAATTCTTCCAAAAGTGAACTTTTTGCTGTGGGTATTTCTTCAAGGATACTAGAGGATATTAAAATCATTTCCGGCTTTAAGATTGGGATATTTCCTGTTAGATACCTTGGCATACCTCTTGTTACACGGAAGCTATCAGTGAAAGATTGTGAACCGTTACTTGGAAAAATCAGGCAACTGTTGCAGTATTGGTCTGGCAGAAACCTTAGCTACGTTGGAAGGCTAGAACTAATTTGCTCTGTCCTGTTCAATGTTTGCATTTTTTGGTGTAGGCAACTCATACTTCTATCTTCCATTCTTAAAACAGTGGATCAACTCTGTTCCAGGTTTTTCTAGAAAGGAGCTGACAAATCAGCAGCCGGTGCTATAGTCAGTTGGGAGAGCATATGTCTTTTGAAGTCCGAAGGAGGTTTGGGTCTGAAAAACACTTCTAATTGTAACAAAGCATGTATCATAAACCTCATTAGAAAGATCCTTGTTGGTGATGGTTCGCTATGGGTAGCATGGCTTAAATCCTATGTTCTTAAGGATCATGATTTTTGGAACTTTGAAGCAGGTTCAAATGTTAGCTGGAGTTTTAGAAGATTTCTTAAGTTGAGACCAATCACTTATCCTATTATTACGTCTGCACCTCAACCGATTAGAGATGTCTGGGAAAAGATTCAGACACAAGGCGTGAAAGTTATTTGGCATAGACTGATTTGGTTTCCTATGCATATTCCAAAGCATAGTTTGATCTCTTGGATGGCCTTACTGGAAAGGTTACATACCAGAGAATGGTTGCAGCGAAGGGGATTATGTTCTGAATCTGTATGTGTTAATTACTGCCAACACCAAGAATCGCGCGATCATCTTTTTTCGCAATGTTCTTTTGCTGCTGAACTTTGGAAAGCTGTTTTGAATCTGAATGGTATGACTTATACTGCTCTAAATTGGGAAACAATGGTCTCTCGGGCAAGCTCTACTTGGAAAGGGAAGTCTCTTATCACTACCTTACTGAAGATTTCTTGGAACGCATTCATTTACTCCATCTGGCAGGGAATAAATCAACGTTTTTTAGGGTCGATTTAAATGGATTGATATTTTGCTTAAAGACATAATTGAAACTGTTAGTATTAGACTAAGGGGTAAAGATATAGATAGATATGATAGTACTAATCATTATCTTTGTAATGCTTGGGGGTATAGTTGTAACATCCTCCATGCTGGGTTAGTGATTAATTTGTAAAGTTTCAGCATTTGGTGATTTAAGTAGAATGATAGAAGAGTTCAATGACTTATTTGAGTTATTTTGTGTAGGATTGAATTATAAAGAAGGAATATTAGAAGGACAATAGCAATATAATTTTGGGGTTAGTATTATACTAACCACGTGGATGTATAGGAAATTAAAATAAGCTTCCAGAGTCATCTTCTTCTTTCTTATTCTTCATACGTGAGACCCAAGCTAAGGTAAGATTTTCTTGTTAGTGAATTTCTTGATGAATTTATGGTTGATTCATGACCATTAGGCAATAGTTAAGCTTAAAGGAAGTTTAAATTGTTTTAAAACCTCAAGAGGAGAAGTATATAAAGAATTAAAGAAAGGAAGTAGAAAAGTGAAATCTTATATTAGAGTTCATAATAAGAATTGGAAGTGAGATTTGACTTGTCATCAAGTTAATTAAGGGATATGAAGTGTTAGAATTGGAATTAAAACACCTTGAAACTTTAGTGTGATTCTTGAATGCCATGTAAATGATGGAATTTTGGGTTTAAAGAAGTGATTATGGAATAGAAATGAGTTTAAATAGGTATATGGAAGTTAGGAATATTAAAGGAAGTAAAATATGAAGGTTTAAGATGAAATGAAGTGATTTTCAAGCTCAAAATAGGATTTCTGGGCTAGGGGAATCGATACCCATTCAAGGGGAATCGATACCCCCTCAAACGAATATGAATTTCCAGAACGCTAGAGGGGAATCGATACCCTCAGGGGGGAACCGATTCCCCCATAATAAAAAAAAGAAAAGAAAGAAGAGAGACTAAACTATCAATTTCTTAAATTGGTAGGCTATTAGAGGTTAATTTCATGACTTAGGCATCAGATAATCATCTTGAAAATTTTGCTTATGTAGATATTGAGCCTAATCGAGTTCCGGAACCATCGAAAAGTAGGATCAATCGAGGGAAAAACAAAGAAATCTAGGTGAGTGCATATGCATAGCATGAATATGTATTTTATTCAGTTCTAGACCATTGATAAGTCTAGATTCAATATTTTGATACATGATCGTAGTTCATATGATGATATATGACATGAATCCATATCATATGCATTATGGGACATGAATATGAAAGAAAAGTTATATGAGTTATATGATAAAGGTATGGAAATAATATGTCTACGTGATATGAATTAGATAAATTGTGAAAGCCCATGTTATGTAAATGAGAACTATAGGTATAGTTGGCATGCCAAGGGTAGAGGGTCTATATGGTCCTTCGGGACATATATGTATTCTTTGGAACATGTGTGAAGTCTGGTGAGTCACATACTTGATCCTTGGCATATGTATATAATTCTTAAGGAATGATATGTGGTCTTTAGGGACATATATGTATTCTTTGGAACATGTGTGAGGTCTGGTGAGACACATACTTGATCCTTGGTATATGTATATGATTCTTAAGGAATGATATGTGGTCCTTCGGGACATATATGTATTCTTTGAAACATGTGTGAAGTCTGGTGAGACACATACTTGATCCTTGGCATATGTATATGATTCTTAAGGAATGATATGTGGTCCTTATGGACATTATTATATGGAACTACGGTGCAATTCTACGCGGCACTCCGGTGCAATTCTACGTGGCACTTAGGTGCAATTATATGAGCTGTGGTGACAGCATAGTGCACAACCTCACAATTCTCACATACCTTAGGTTCTCTGTATGGTACCATGGGCTAATGAACTTACTAAGGAGAACTTATGAATGTGAATTTGATAAGTTTATATGTAAGAAATAGGGTTTTGGTTTTTGCATTGTTTACATACATCTTATTACTACAACCCCTCTCATTTTGGCAATTACTTTATATTTATTGATATTATTATTATATTATTGCCTCACTAAGTCGATGACTTAGCGTGTGAGTGTTTCACACGTAGGATCTGATAAAGTAGACGATCGAGGTTAAGTAGCTGGACAACGTTACTCCTGCAACTATCAGATCAGAAGCAACTTAATCAGTAGGTCATTTTGTTATGAAAATGGATGTTGGCATGTAATTAAAGAGTTAAGTTGTGTATGCTCTGAATATTTTGGTAAACTTATATTACCATATGTATATTATTGTATTTTTCGTAATATAAGTTCAAGTATTTTACTATTATTTGTAATGAGTTGTGTTTTAAAAGTCAACGTAATATCTCTGACTCGTATCCAGGTTGGGATACGGGTTGGGGTGTTACATTTTATGGTATCAGAGCTATGGTTTAGCCGATTCTAGGCATAAACCAGAGTCTATAGAGTTCTTAAATGTAATACATGCCAACAAATAGTGAGAACTTCTCATCATGTATAGTATGAGTATACTGTTTTGCTAATAGAACAATGTGTTTATTCTTATTAGATGTCCGGACATAATAGCTCCCGAAGTGAAGCGGGAGAAGATAGGCATGCTGAAAGCAATAATTCACCTGCCCTGGCCAGGCAAGGTGAAGAATAGGCATCTCAAGGAGTGCCTGTGCAAGATCAAGATACGTTCTTCAGAACGTTAGACGCTATTCTAACGCGTCTTCAACCTCCTGCTCCACCAACTCAAATGATGAATGTAGCAAAAGAGTTGAGAGGGTTAGGAGCTCCCGAATTTAAGGGAGAAACCGAAGAAGGTCCGGTTGCGGCAGATCTTTGGTTAAATGATTTAAAAATCATGTTGGATGGTCTCCACTGTTCTGAAGTGGAGAAGTTAGATGGAGTTGTCTCGTTGTTGAGGGGTCAGACGAGAATATGGTGGACGAACGTCACCATGAGGATGCCCAGTGACCAATTGACTTTGTCTTTATTCTTAGATGAATTTAAAAACAAGTACATTGGAGATCAATTTATTCGACAGATGAAGCAAGAGTTTTTGAATTTGAAACAGATGAACCGCTCTGTATATGAGTATGAATGTAAGTTCAAAAAGTTGAGTAGGTTTAAATCCAAGCTTGTGCTTACTGAAAAAGAGGCTTGTGAATGGTTTGTGGAGGGTTTACGCCCTAGATTGAAAGAGATGCTGATAGTATTGAATTTGTCCTCGTTCCAAGAGGTGATCAATCGTGCCAAGGCTCTTGAAAGAGCTCAGAATGAGAGATTCGGGGATGTTAGAGTTTAGACATCAAAGATAATGGGTGCTTCTTCTAGCTTCGCACCATCAAAAAGGGGAAGAGACTCGGGATTTCGATCACAAGCTAGATCAGAATCAGTTGCATCGCCTGCTAGGGGAGCAAGTCAGGCAAGACCTAGACAGACACAGTCAGTGGGATCTGGTGTTAGGAGATCTACTTCGAGTCAAGCGAGACAGTGTCAGCACTGTGGGAAAAACCATTTTGGGGCTTGTCGGATGGCTGCTGGGACTTGTTTTCGATGCGGAGATGCCGAACATTTTATCCGGGATTGTCCATTGATAGTTGGTGATCCTGCACCATCTGAGAGAGTTGGTTCTTCCTCACAAAGAGGACGAGGAAGAGGCAGAGGAAGGAACCCGTTTGAATTCTCTGCTCAACCTGAAGTTCGATCAACCGCACGGGTGTACAATCTAAAGACAAGTGAAGACCGTGATGACCCTGATATTATAGCAGGTACTTTTCAGTTGTATGATAAATTAGTATTGGTACTGATTGATCCGGGTTCTAATTATTCTTATATTACAAGTAAGTTAGTAAAGAAATTGAGGATTCCCTTAGAAGCTATGAGTAATGAGATTATAGTAACAACTCCGTTAGGCCATAGTGCTCGGGTGAATAAAGTCTATAAGGGGTGTCCCATAAAGGTTCAGGGAATTGAATTCCCTGCTAATCTGATGGAATTACCCTTTGACGAGTTTGAAGTGATTCTGGGAATGGATTGGTTGTTCTGTTACTATGGAGATGTTAATTGCAGATTGAAAAAGGTAACCCTGAAAAGTCCAGGAGGAACAGAGATAAGTGTGAGCAGTGAAAAGTTTAATCCCTTAGCAAATGTAATGTCAGTAATGTCAGCTAAGAAGCTATTGCTACAGGGATATCAAGGATTTCTTGCAAATGTGATAGATTTAAGAGCTATAGAGAAAGGACTAGAGGAGATTCCAATAGTTTCAAGAATTCCCTGAAGTTTTCCCGGCTGAGTTGCCAGGATTACCTCCAGATAGAGAGGTAGAATTTCAAATTGAGGTAATGCCAGGAACCGCTCCAATTGCAATGGCACCTTATCGGATGGCTCCGAAAGAATTGCAAGAGTTGTTAGGAAAAGGATTTATTCGACCAAGTGTGTCACCTTGGGGAGCTCCGGCGTTATTTGTTAATAAGAAGGATGGATCAATGTGTCTCTGTATTGATTATCGACATCTTAATAAGGTGACCATCAAGAACAAGTATCCCCTTCCGCGCATTGATGACTTGTTTGATCAACTAAAAGGAGCTTCGGTATTTTTGAAGATCGATCTACGTTCGGATTATCATCAATTGAAGATTCAGGAGAAAGATATTCCTAAGACGGCTTTCAGAACGAGATATGGTCATTATGAATTCATCGTAATGCCATTCGAAGTAACGAATGCACCAGCTGCTTTCATGGATCTCATGAACAGGATTTTTCAGCCCTATTTGGACCAGTTTGTTGTTGTCTTTATTGATGACATACTGGTTTACTCGAAGTCCATTGAAGAGCACAGCGCACATCTGAGGCTAGTTTTGCAAATTCTCAGGGATAAAAATCTTTATGCGAAATTGTCCAAATGTGAATTTTGGCTAAACGAAGTAATTTTCTCGGGGCATGTAATCTAGGCAGTTGGGATTAGAGTAGACCCTCAGAAGGTTAAAGCTATAATGGACTGGGAAGTTCCA